ACCCCGTAAAAGGTAAAAGAAATGGTGATGGTTGCGCTTACGCGCGCATGGGCTGCAAGCCCCGGTAAAAGATCGCCAACGGTGCCATGACCGCGCTATGCGCATGGGCAATATGCCCCGTGAAGGTGTAAAAAGGCAGCAAATATGCCTCGGTGAAATGCGGGTTTGATGCGTTTTGGCTCCACCCGAGTTACGTTCATGGTGAACTTTCGGTTGGGACGCGATCTTGGCTCCAACCCGGTTAAAGGTTCATGGTACAAAATTGGTGGACGCGCTTTGGCTCCACCGGTTCATGGTAAATTTGATATGGACGCGAATCGGCTCCATATCTAAACAAATCTACATGTGTTTTGGCCACAGCGACGCGGCCCATTCATATCATGCATCAAACAAAATAAAGAACTTGCATGTTACTGCCATGAAGAAAGATCATGCATCGGTTTCTATCAAATCAAAGAAACAATCATATGTGCAAATGAAACTATATAAAAAACAAGACACTAAAAACGCACCGCATATTCGGTCCATTAGCTAGGCACGCATATCATGTAACGTGCCATTATTTTCCGCCAGACATCCGTTGTTTACACAAACCTTTGCATGATGCACAGTCATCAAGGATCATGTATCGACATAATCAAGTCATAAATAAACAAAAGAAAAAGGTTGTGCATGTTATGCTTCGTTAGCTAGCACCTCCCTTGCACAAGCCCAAAACTTGTCTTGCATGCCTCGCTTTGCATGTACGGTGACATAATCAAATTAAAGTACCAAGTGCCGAACAAACCAAGATGCTAAGTTAGTGTTGCATCAAAACTGTCACATCTGCCTCACCATGCAAATAGAAGCAAAGGCTAGCGTAAAGATTGCATGCATCTTGCATCTTAATTATATTGCATTCACCCAAAACAGGTGGATTTAAATAAATAAGAAAGCTCAAGAAAATTAGTTTCTTTCGTGCCAAATACCATGTCATGACCGCTAGTGCTAATTAGCCCTCTGCGCAGCGCCTTTGGTATAATAAAATAACTAAATGTTACAAACACATGAACTTAGCCCAAACTAAATAGGCTTTGTCATGTTCATCATAATTTCCACACATGTCATCTATGCCCGGCATAGGCTCTCCGAGGCAGGTGCCGAGCATCATGAGTAAATTAAATGTTACATCTTAGCTGATTGCACCCATAGAGGTCATGTTTAGCTAAGTCATTAGAATATATCAAATTAATAGCATCGTGCCATACCATGAGTATGCATGCTAAACTTGATAAAATAAATTAATTGCACGCACCTCTATTTGAGTCGATGATGCAAACATTTCTTTCTAGGCCATGGTAAAATAAATACTTTGACTTAGCTCAAATGAAAGATTGCACTATATGCTGAATATATCCATGAACGGGCATCTAAAAACATGCTAAATCATGATCTTAAATGATCCAAAAGACATCAAATTTAGTCTCAGAAAGTAAATTGCATGCATACATACATGACAATGCACCAAAGAAATGTGTATCACTCAAACAAAACAGTTTCTCTTAGCTGACATAAATGTGTGTTGCACCACATAGTGTATAAATTAAATACATGTATATTATGGACTGCTAAGAAGCTAAACACGCTATCAACCAATCATATAAGGAATATATGTTACTCCTCGACAAATGAACTCGTGTCATGTTTAAATAAAATGACATGCATCAAGTTCAAGTCTATGCCAAGCATGCACATTCATATATCTACGACTACAAGACCGAAGACTTTGTTTTCTTTTGTAGTTTGTAATAGGAAGCCATATGATGTAATCTTATTTTTCATGTACTCATGTTGGAACTCTTAATCAGGGGTGTTCTCTTCGGAGATGTAATTAACATAATTTTTATGCAAATATAAGAATTATGGAAGTATGGACTTGCAATACCTGTTCTTTTTCTTTTGTTCCAATTAAATTTAACCAAAATCAAATTTGTCTCTGCTGACGCGGAGGCGGGTCATAGCCACTCGTTTCCCCGCCATCAATATTGTCCCTTCCATGCGTAGGGACATTTTTCCCAATGCCAATGCATACATGGACATAGCTCTCAAATTGAAAAGTGAGAAAGGGAACGTACCAATCGTTTATCTTCATCAACCGACCAGTTCAAACACCTGTCGGTTCTAAAATCCTCATCGACGTTAATTGTTTCAGTTTCTTCTACATCTACATCATCCACTAGATCATCAGTTTCTTGTACTGGAGAAGGAGTTCTTGTAGCACCCAAATCAATTGGAGACATTGAAGACTGACCCATTGCAGCACCAACAAAGTGAAAATTTTCTGGAATATTATTTCACTAGGATGGTTAGCAAATGGGTTTGACTGCAGATAATTTGTGAACCCTCCTGGTGGGTATAACCTGTAAACATATGAATTCCCATGCTCTAATTAATCATATCTTCAACCAAAATAGCACAGTATGCCATACATCACTAGTGACTGAAAATGAAACACTTTGCACTGCATATGCAGGTAAACAATCTATATCCACAGAACACTTCTCTGATGACTTACCCTTCACTAGTAGATGACGTTGACCACCATGCACCAACGGGAAAAGCACCAATTTGAGGAGCACAAGTTTTAGGAACACCAACATCTTGAGGAACACCGGTGGCTCCAGCTTGAGCATGGGTTGCAGCAGCTCCTCTAGGAACACCAGCATCTTGAGGAACACCGGTGGCTCCAGCTTGAGCACGGGTTGCAGCAGCTCCGGTGACTGGAGCACAGGTCCCAACAGCCCGGACGGATGGAGACTGGGTTCTACGGACACCTCTGCCTTGCCGAGAATCAGTCTTTGTTAATCGATTCATCTGTGAGATTTGGGAATATTTTTGGGTCACAGTGGATGGGGGAGGAGATGGAATCGAAGGGAGCTATGGATGGACCTCGATATGAATCGAAGGGAGCTATGCAGAGATTTGGGTATGGATTTGGGTTAAAGATTGTTGTCGGGAGGAGATCAGTTGGGGATGGTCATGGAGCTTGGGGGCGTACCTCGATTTGGGCCTGGGGACCTCGATCTGCAGCCGGCGCGGGAGAGAGCAGAAGGCCCGTGGGAGCTCGCGGGACGGCACGCGGGAGAGGGCGGTGCAGCGCGCAGGAAAGGGAAGAGCGCGCGCTGGAGAGAGTTCAGAGCGCGCGCGTGGGAGCGGGGTCGAGGGCGCGCATGGGAGCGAGGGTGGCGGCGATGGGAGGGAAGGGGAAGGCGCACCGGATCCATGGAAACGATGGACAACTCCACAATGCGCACGGGGGCTGGTTTCTTTGGCATCGGTCGAAGCGTAGACTCAGCGTCTATGTTAAACGTCGTTTCTTGTTTCTCCCCTCTCTTTCTTCAATAAATACATTGCCACATCAGCAAAAATCAATAAATAGAAGGGTAATAAATAGACATAGAAACCATTGTAGAGTCTGCATTGGGAGTGCCCTAATTCACATTCACACGCACATTTTATTTTTACATGCAATGCAATGTCCGCGCCATTACGTTACATGGCAATGATTTTCTCGAGTCGTGACAGTGTTTCGCCCGTCTGTCCATCACGTCCGCGGCTGCTGGCCTACTGCACCGCTCGCCCGCCTGCTTGCTCGCCCGAGCAGCTACATGGGACCACCCTCACCCACCTCACTTCTAGCGCGCACGTAGAGACCACCTGCGGCCGTGGGACCGCCTTCGTCAGAGCCCGTTTCCCTTGTCTGCTTGTAACATGTGTAACATCTCGATCTACTTTTGTAATATTTAGATGAAACACATGCAGCATACGTCAGAAATAGCTGAAACACTTGCAACATACGTCTGAAACACTTGCAAAAACACATGAAAACACTTGAAAGTCATTGCAAACATACGCAACATCCAGATAAAATACTTGCAACATATATGTGAAACATATGCATCATTCAGATAACACACTCGCAATATATGTCTGAAAAAATAGATGAAACATTAGGAACAGACGCTTGCAATATACGTGTGCAGCCACTGCAACAAATACAATATCACGATCTACTTTTGTAACATCCATATCAAACACTAGAAATATACATCTGAAACACTTGAAACATAGGCTTACAACATATCTAAAAACGTCTGAAACACTTAAACACAACGTTGTCGGTGCCCATGGCCTATCTAGTGGGGAACTGTAGTAGCCAGCAAGCTTCCGGACCTCCCTTCCTACCGTGGTGTCTTCGGCTGACCACAGGAGATAATGTCTAGGCCAACAACGACCTCCTACTGGTGGTGTCGGGTTGGTGGTGGCCCGGTGATGCCACGGCCCCGACCAACGAGATGGAGAAGCGCACGACGCGACGAGAGACGGGGTGGGGGAAGGGGGCGCGGCGGGATAGAGTTGGGCGAGCGGATGCGAGTCTGAAGAAGAGGTAGACAGGAGACGGTGTCGGTGGAAGGCTGAGAAATGAGTAGATAAGAATTAACGTAGAAAAGAGGTGGTTGAGATAAGCCCGGAGTCCGTTCGATTTTTTTATAGCGCCGGACGCTCGGGTTATAACGTTTTCATTTAAAGATTTGTCACTTGATGGACGCCAAACATGGCTAAATACATTCTAGCTACCTAGCCAAACGGGTAGCTTAGCTCAGTTAATTAGGTTCAATACAGAGTATCATGTCTATACTATGCTTCGAAAAAATAACATATTGCCACGTGCCTTCACTAAACTCTGCCTAAGACGTGACCAACAATTTAATCGCCGTACATTAGGTATGGTTCAGCGAAGAAATACAGTACATCGAAGAATCGGCAGAATTGGGACCTTGACAAGAGAGGTGGATGGGCCAGAAATCAGTCTGAACCAAGACCAAATGTGCGATTTGTGGCCCACTACTGCACCATCCCCTCGGAATTCTGAAAGGCCTCCCTAACCCCAAACGAAACCACCCTCCGCGACAAGTGACCAAACAAGCGCGACCTCCTCCGCCCCCACCTCGCCGCCGGCGATGGAGCCGCCGCCGCCTCCTGCTCCGGCGACCCACTCCGCGCCCGTCCGCGTGCTCTCCCGCACTCCGCCGCCGGCCTCCCCGACCCCCTCCTCCGCGGGCCCCGCCCCGTCGCCCGCCTCCCGCGACGGGGTCGTCGCCGTCGGCTTCGTGGGCGGCGCGGGGAGCGCACGCCTCGCGGACCGGATCCTCGACGGCCACGTCTTCTCCCCCGGTGGCTCGGCGGGGAGCCTCGCCGGGAGCGTCAGGTATCACCGCGACGCCGTCAGGAGGATGGTGTTCCTTCACCTCACGCCGCCGCCCGCGCCGCTCGAGGCGGTGGCAGGAGGCTGCCGCGACGGAGACCTCCCGGAGATGCTCTTCATGTTCTCTGTGAGCTCGGATTGTTGCTCTGCTTTTGCTCATTATATTATACATACAGTAGGTGTAGGTCTGCTATCCTGGGAATCGAACTGCCAAGCTGACCCCAAAGCCTCTGCCTGATTTGTCCGTTTGTATATGATCCACCTATTCTACTGCATCATGTCAGCTAGTTATTGACGATTTGGTGCGTTTAAAACACCTTAACAACTTGAGGATGCTGTTTTTTTTTTTGGCCTCGTTTAAAATTTCATAGTTTTCTATACATGCTTCTGATTACTGCCACTGATTATCTTTGTTGAATCGAAATCTTAGAACTAATCTTGTACAATGTTGCTTGCCTGTGTTCAAGCTTGGCTAATGTCTGGTTCTCTGACCATAGATATTTTAGACGACTTCATCATAGTTACCGGACTTTTACTTCATAGATTCATAGATTCACTGCTTCATAATCATATTTCTAGAATAACAGGTGCCTTTGACCACCCAAATGACTACTATGGTCTTGTTTCTTTTGTTTTCTGTGACAAAATGAGAATTATGATTGGTTTTACTTTACAACATTCTAGGTCTGCCACGTAATTATATTTCTGCAAGAAGGCTTCAGATTTAACACACAAACCTTAAAGAAGTTCCGACTGCTGCAATCTTCAAAGCATGCTCTCGCTCCATTCGTCAAGTCATTGGTAGCAGCTGCAATGCCTGCCAAAGCTGTTGCCTCTGACACCCCAACAAGAGCAACCCACAGGGCTTCCTCCATCTCCCCTCCAGCGCGCCGTGGAGGTCACTCAGGTCGTCAGTCCTCGGCCATCTCACTTATGTCCGGAACCAGTTCAAATGCTTCTGTACTGCCAGGCCAATGCATTCCTATATTGCTCTTTGTCTTTGAGGATGATGCGCTTGATGTTTCAAGTGCTGCAGCAAGTTCTGATGATATGGGTGATGCATCTTCATCAAATCAGGGTTCTACCTCTGATGGATTATCAAAACAAAGCTTAGCTTCAAAGAGTTCTGGTTCAGTGGTTATGTTTGCCCGAGCAGCAAACAAATCTGAGGGTAATTCAGGCAAAAAACTGCATTCATCCCTGGAGGGACAGATCCGTGTCTTGCTCAAGAAGTGCAGGGTACTTGCAGGCATGGAGCCAGGGCATATTGGCCCGAGGGGTGTAAGTAACATGAGTCATCATTTACCCCTGTTCTCACTCGATACCTCGAGGGTTGTTGCACTGTTGGAACGGTACATTAATAAGAAACGGGAGCCACTGGACATCATTGCAGGACTATTTGAAGACTCTTTGTGCTCCAAATCACCATTGGATATTCTTTCACTGGAAAACAACTACCACCCAACAAACCATGATGACTTTCAGTTGATCAAGGATTTTATATTTCGGCAGTCTGATGCGCTGAGAGGGAGAGGGGGATATTCAAGCAATGCAAGTGCTGGGTCTGTTGCTGGTGTTGGCATGGTGGCTGCTGCTGCTGCTGCAGCAGCAGCATCAGCTGCATCTGGGAAACCAGCTAATGCACCTGATCTCCCTACTTTTGATAAATGGTTGTCCATGAGTACCTCTATTCTGACTGCACTGCTGAGTGGTCAGTCTGAAAGCAAGACTAATACAAGTCCTAGTGAGAAGAATGACCAACTTCCTGCTGCAGGATCTAATGCCATTGAGATCGCATTATCGTGCTTGGAAAGTTATAATGGGCTGAACATGAAATTTTCTTCATCATGGTGCCAAAGGGTGCTTCCAGCTGCTAAGGAGATTTACCTGAAAGGTTTGCCTGCCTTTTACCCCACAAGCATGCATGAAGTGCAGCTACAGAAGGCATTGCGGTCCTTTGGCTCGATGGTTAAAGGACCAGCAGTCAGGGTATTCTCAAAGAAGCTAGAAGATGAGTGCCAGGCAATATGGGAATCTGGAAGGCAGCAATGTGACGCTGTTAGCCTAACTGGCAGACCATGTAAGCACCGCAGGCATGGCGATTTCTCTTCTCCAGATGCAATGAAACCACATTCTAGTGGATATGTCTTCCTCCATGCATGTGCCTGTGGCCGGTCACGTCGCCTTAGAGATGATCCTTTTGACTTTGAGACAGCCAATGTGTCTTTTAATTGTTTCCAAAATTGCGATGATCTACTACCTACCCTTGCGCTTCCAAGAGGCAGCGATGCTGGTTCATTTTCAGTATCCTCTTGGCGCTTGGTGCGTCTCGGAGGAGCAAGATATTACAAGCCAACAAAGGGGCTCCTCCAAAGTGGATTTAGCTCCAAGGAGAGGTATCTTCTAAGGTGGATTATATCTGTTGGTAAGGGGCAAGTGAGACATGGCATCCGTTCTAATACTGTTACCTCATCCACAAGATCTGGTATGAACCCTCAGACTCCCCCAATAGTCACTGGTGAAGTAAAATCTGCTGTAACCCAAGTCACAGCACAAATTAAATCTGCAAAGCTCGAAAGTTCTGGAAAACAACCTGAAATGGAACCAATGAGCAACTCAAGTATTAATTTTGGTAAAGGTCTGCCAAATTTTACTATGAAAAAACCCTTTGCTGAAGTTGTTGCTGGCACCACATCAAAAGATTCCGAATTTCCTGCTCTTCAGCAGATGAGGCCACCGAAACCTGGTGGTCGAAAAGATAAGCGCCAAATGAATGTAGGAGACCAGATTAATGGCCGGGGTCATGCGGCTGTCAGCCAAGGGCCTGTAGCTGAAACTGAATCCGCGAAAGCAAGCAGAAACAAGAGTAGTGAAAATTCTGATGGGAAGCCCTTTTTACAGATAGGGAGCAATATAGTACCAGTGATTGTTGGAAATGAGACTAGAGAAACTAGTCTGCTGGTACAACAGTTTGTTGTGTATGTTGGATTTGAGCATGAGTGTCCCTATGGTCATCGCTTCTTACTGTCAGAGAAACATATGAAGGAGATTGATTCTTCCTGTTTGCAGTATCAAAGACCTCATGTAAACAAAGAAGCAGAAGGCAAGCATGCACAAAAGTTGCTCCAAAATGCATCTGGTTTAATTGCATCTGCAGTGGACATAAACAGTGCACGGAAAAACAGTAAGCCATTGCAATCATCAGGGAGAAACAGCCAGCAGCAATCACTTGAGCTGAGGGTTGATGCAGAGACTTCACAACCTTCTCCTTGGCTTTCAGATCCACAGAATGGCAAAAGGGGGGAGCATTATTTTCCAAGCATTACAATTGATGATGGCGGAGAAGCATTTTCACTGATGAACAGAAACTTGCCAATATATATGCACTGTCCACATTGCAAGATCTCAGAAAGGAAGGAACATCAAGATGTAAAGTTTGCTGGTGCCGTGTCGCAACTTCAACGGATTTTCATTGTGAGTTATAATGTTCTAACTGAAGTTTTTTGTCATAGTTAGATATGATGAAGTATCATCATTCACAATCTTACACCAGGAAATTAGATTTTTAGTTGCTCCCTGTTTCGTATAGTACCGTTGAAGTTGAGACATGTTTCTTGTAGTATCCATAGGGACATTGTTCTGTAATCTTGTCTTCCTACTAATGTCTAGGTTCTCTTTAATGCAGGTGACACCTGATTTCCCTGTCCTGCTGACAAGCTGCCCACTTGTACAGTTTGAGGCAAGTACACTCATCTATATTCAGCGTGAATCATATATTTCCTTTACTCACCCCATAGAGTAGCTATGGGAAGACATAACCTAGATGTAACAGAAAAGGTCACTAAGTGGAGTTATTGCCTTTTCCCTTTCTCTTCCAATCAGGGGTCATGTTTGCCATCGAATGTCTCTGATCATGATCGAGAAGGATCATTCAGTATTGGGTGCCGAGTTATCCTCCCACCTGAGAGCTTTCTTACAATGAGGCTTCCTTTTGTCTATGGTGTTGAGACAAAAGAGGGAAGTACATTTCCCCTCAAAAACTTTGAGCAACAACCAGAACTCACAGCATGGCTTGTTGGAGGCACAGCCTTGCAAATCGTATCGGTAGGGGACGTCACTGAGAAAGAAACCATTATGAAGTGATAGACATGTCATCTAAAGCTTTACTGGTTTTAGCATGTTCTAGTCACATATCAGTGATGTGCCATTGGTGAGATGATAATAACTGTTCTTTTTTCTTTCCTGCTATCTTCCCCACACAGTTTTTCTTAGTTCTCCTTTGTTTTGAATACCCAAGGCATTGAATAGGTCTGTTGTTGGTTTAATTCATGCAGGATGCTGGATGGATGATTATATTCCTGTCTGAGGTTTTACTTGTACTCCTGAACTTGTGCTGCTAAGCTGTTGATACAACTATTGCTTCCTTTCACTGTGCTCCAAGCATTGTGAAATAGAAGTTTCGCTGATATCTACCTGGATGGTGTATATAGATGCACGCAGAGGGGACAGGCCCACAGGTACAAGTTTGGTAGTTCTGTACTTTCACCCTTTTGATACCACAGTACTTGGCAAACTCGTTCATTGCTAAGCACAATATGTGTAACTGATGCAGGCAATCGGCAGCCGTTCTTGTCTTGTACACGAATAGGTGCCAGGAGGTAAAGTTTAGCTGGTTATGTAGGGTCTGTTTTTTTTGAGGACCAGTGGATCAATCCGATTCCTTAACTGATTTTGCCTTTGGGCTGGGAGCTTTTGTAATAAGATTACTAGTTCAGTTGAGCTTTGTAGTGTAGTATTTTTTGGCCAGTTGATGTGCTGTTTTATTCCTAGGCGTGTTGAGAAATCTGGCCTTGGAATATAAAACGAGAAGAAGCAATTTTCTGAATGACCTTGTGGCAAACTGTTGCTTGAAATGCATGGTTTCCTCAAATAAACTTGACTGATCTGCCTGTCCCTTATTCTTTCTTGTATATATATGCAGTACAGGAATTTCCCGCAGCCTTTGGGGGGAAAAGAAGATGGGTTTGAGAAGTGAAGTGATAACAGGAAAAAACCAGAGTTGTGTTGAAATATGGAGGATCCAGGTTGGCATCAGCCGCTTCTGGTAGACTGGAGACTGGGCTGGAGAATATTGAAGCTGGAAGGAAACGCACGAACAACTCCTGCTTGACAAGTGTAAAGGCGGCAGCAGGCTGTGCGAGAAATTAAAGGTGGACTGCGGGACGGGCGCCGTGTTAATGATGCGTCGAGTCGAGGTCTGCCCTTTTTGTTCTTTTTCACCTGCAAAACAGGCGTTTCCACGTGATGTGAATCATTCCAGAATGGCTGCTGGAGCCTGGAGGCGTGGCTCGTTGGTTTACTCATGCAGGCCCCGGCTCCAAAAGCTTCTTTCTTGTGTGTTTCTCCAATCCAAAATCCTGCGTGCAGTCCATGGTATGGTACTAGTACCATTTGTCCAATCCAATGAGTGAAGTGAAGCATGACTGCACGAGTTTGAGTTGCTTGGACAAGTGGCTGTGGGTGTGCTACTGCTACTGCTACTGCTACTGCTACCTAACCTTTTGCTTGGCCGATAGATAAGAATACCTGACTTGGACTTGAACTCTCTGCTGCTACCGGACTGATGGAAGTGGATGTAAATGCGAACAAACAGCTGGTTGGCATGCTCCACACCAACGGCCGGCCGGAGCAGATGGAGATGGAGATGGAGATCCCTTTTAGCTTAGCTTTAGCTAGCTTCCTTTCCTTTGTGATTGTGATCTGCTACTGCAGGAAACCATGCATGATTCACAAGAAGCTAGCGTTGGTAATTTATTAACTGCCTCGTCTCCATTTATTTGTTCATCATGATTCACAAGCAGCACTGATGTGTGGTCTCTGTTGTGTGCGTGTCGACGTGTAGAGACACAGCGATGCAGCAATGGTGGTTGCAAGTCTCCAACTCCAGCCACCGCTGCAGGAGTTGGGAGTTGGAGCAAGTTGGCTAGTGTTGGGTTGGCTTGGGAGCCGTACATTACGTGCTAGCATTGACGCCGTCCGCCTTTGCCAGTGCACTGTGCACATGCCGCGTTCGACGCGCTGGGAATGAGGACTTTGGCCGGCAGTAGGCTTGTAGCTAGCCCTGTAGCCACGCCAACATGCTGCAGCAGCACTGCCTTACGCGGTGACGCTGGCGGTGTCGACGTGTGAGCTTTGCTTGCTGCAATTTGCTCGCTACCTGGCGTCAGTTCAGTTCAAGAGCTGGCATTAAACAAGTTAAACTGAACCTATGGAATATTGGTGGTGGGGACGCCACCGCCTTTGCCTTTGCACTGTGCACATGAAACTTGCAAAACGGCGATCGATCAGAACAACTGGGATCGGACTGGAGAGCCATGCATCTGTGGATGTTAACGAAGTGAGCTAGTATTAGCTGCTTGCTGCTTTGCTCGCTACTCGGCAGTCAATCGTTTCTAGCATTAAACTAAACTGAACCTATGGAATATTGGTGGTGGGGTCCACCGCCATTATCCTTTAAGAAACTTGCAGTGTAGAGGTGGTACTGCCAGTTTTATAATCCACAGTCTGCACTCGGCAGCTAATCCTACTTTACGACTAGCTCTACAAGTAACGCCCGTGATTAATTAAGCTCAACAGCAAACTCTTCAACAAACACAAGGTACTCTCCATTATTAACACTCCCCTCTGCCTAAAAAGAATGTAATTCTTATTTTCCAAGGAGTCGAGTGATTTTAAATTTGATTATATTCGGTAAAACATGCTAATATTTATGGTATCAAATAAGTATTATTAGATTAATTATTATAAAATATATTCTCATAATAAACCTATTTAGAGATGTAAATGTTGATACCATTTTTTTTTATAATTGTCATCAAACCTCAAAAAATATTGGCTTGGTTCAGTCCTAGATTTTTTTTTTCGGACGGAAAGAGTGTATAATCCACCATAACTATCTCTCCTCTCCACTGCTGTAAGCCTGTAACCTCAATGCAATCATTCACTACTTATCTACAGCCATGTAGTCTTGTATAGACTAAGCTAAGCATCGTGTCGTCCCTGTGTAAGCCATGATGTCAGCTGCATGCGTTGTGAGAAGAGATCAAGTTAGAATTAAGAGCCACCCATGTGACTGTCAACCTCCCACGTTTCCGCCCATCTTCTCTCTTCTTTTATTTCCCCCCTTTTATTTCCTCTTATTTGCAACAGTTCCTTTTGCGAGGTCCCTTTCCCTTCTTTGCGACATTATCCGTTATTTTGGTCACATCAATATGGTGCTGTGCTTTAGTTAGTTATTAGGTTCGTTGTGGCGAAACATACTGTCCATTTGGACACGGTGTACCTCCACTTTTATTAATTAATTAGTGTTAGTTTTCTCTCGTGCTTATTTGTAGTGTAGTAACCGCGCCTCCTTGTACGCGGATGATCTAGTCGTCTTCTTCTCGCCCACGGTGGGCGATTTGGGGTGTCTACGGGCCATCCTCGACCTCTTCGCTGACGCCTTGGGCCTCATCACTAACATGGACAAATGCTCCATCTCGCTGATTCGCTGCTCCGAGGCTGACGTCGCTGCCATCTTAGAGGCCTTCCTGGGGTGGCTCGCACCTTTCCCATGCACGTACCTGGGCATCCCAATGACCCTGCCGAAGCCTCGACGTGCTGATGAGCAGCCGTTGATTGACAAAGGTAGCCGCCAGGATCCCCACATGGAAGGCGGGGCTACTCAATAACGCGGGTCGTGCAACATTGACCAAGGTCACCCTGTCAGCCATCCCCGTCCATGTCTCCATCGCCACTGGGCTCTCGGCTTGGGCGCTGCGTCAGATCGACAAGCGGCGCCGTGCCTTCCTCTGGGCCATAACTGATACCATCGCGGGAGGCAAGTGCAGAGTCGCTTGGCGGACGGTGAACGCGCCCCCACGTGCTACGGTGGGCTTGGCGTCCCGGACCTAAAGATCGCAGGCTTTGCCGTTCGCCTGCGCTGGGAATGGTTGCGCTATTCGCGACCTGATCTAGGCTGGTGCGGCCACCTGAGGAAACCTGAACGCGAGGTCCAGACCATGTTTCAGTCGTCGGTCATGGTGGCCATCGGTGATGGCTTGTTGGCCAAGTTTTGGACTGACTCTTGACTACCTGATGGCCCGATATGTCGCTTCGCTCCCCACCTATTCGCCGCCATTGGCAAACGACGTTGCCAAAAGTCCGTGCGCGAAGCCATCACCAATAGAAGCTGGGTACACGATATCCAGGGTAGCCCAAGTGCTGTGTGACTACGTTGTAGTCTGGGCAAAGGTCGACGGGGTGGTGTTTGATGACCTCACAAGCGACAGATTCATCTGGCGATGGACCACGGACAGCACGTACTCAGCCTCTTTAGCCTACAGGGCCTTCTTCATCGGCATGTCTTCTCTGAGAGGCGCTAAAGAGCTTTGGAAGGCTAGGGCCCCGCCGAAGTGCAAATTCTTCTTCTGGTTGTTGTTGCACAATCGGCTATGGACGGCGGCGCGAAGGATACGGCATGGGCCGCAAGATGGGGATGTATGTGCCCTTTTCGACCAGGAACAGGAGACGACACGACACCTTGCTGGTGAGTGTGTGTTCGCCCAGGAGGTGAGGTTCAGGGTGTTGGCACCAATCGGCCTCACCAACCTCACACCTCCGCCTGGAATCGCCTTGCCTTAACGGGTGGCTGTTGTACCGTGTACAGCTCGAAACGGCGAAGCGCAAAGGTTTCGACTCCCTCATCATCCTTGGAGCTTGGTGTCTTTGGAAGGAACGTAATCAGAGGGTCTTCCATGGAGCTGGCCGTACGCCTACCGATGTTGCTACCATGATGGAGGAGGAGGTCGAGCGCTGGTCTCAAGCGGGATACAACCACCTCGCCGCGCTGTGGGCGTCCAGGGACAGTGGCTGATCCTCGCCGGTCGCAGAAGTCGTAAAATTTGTTCTTATGTAATACCAAGCTAGATCCGCCGTTTCTTGGTTGCAGGTTAACTTTGTTCGGCCGTAGCGTGCCGCTCGCATTCTAGGCCGACCGACGTTTACCTATATAACAACTCCTTTTTCTTTTTAATGATATACATGCTATGCATTTTCGCGAAAAAGTAAAGCTTGTTTTGGACGCAAGAAATGGATCGAATTGC